CCTCTGGTTCCCTAAAAAACATGTCTTTTAAGTTCTAGTAATGATTGTTGAGCTTTAGCAGCTCAATTTCCTCCATGCAAGATGTAAGCCCATCTCCCCTCACCCAAAGGAGAAACTGCTGGTCTCTTAGCCAGAATCTACCCACTGCTAAGTGGGTAGATAAGCCCTCCCCAAGCTTATCTTTGAAAGGGCTGATCAAATAAACACCTGGATGGGAAGAAAATAGCCAGAAGGGTGATTGCTTGATTGATTTTGTTGTTGTTGAGAGATTTTTGCTATAGGGCATGTGTGCTTGTCAGAGAGACAGAGACATATAGACAGAAAGTGAAAAATCACCTCCCAGGGGGATGGCCACACCACAATCCCTTCTTCTCCAGTCTCCTCTTTAGATTTTGGGCACGCATGCACATACACGCACCTGGCGTGAGTTTTAAGCCACTGGGTCTGAGACTCCAACCAGAGTCCACCTTGTGGAAGTCCAGTGACGTAATCATTACACCATCTGCTGTTCCCCTGAGGGTTATTTATTGAACACCTGCTAAATGTTGGCACTGTGCAAGCACTTTACTCTTTCTAACGCATTTAACCCCCTTGCCATAAGCTCTTGTCAATTAAGATCTGTTCTTGGGGGGTGTGCAGGAGAGTGAGGAGACAGAACAGAAATGCTGCCAGGTAAGAACAGTTTATTCTTTTTTTTTTTTTTTTGGAGAGATTTTCACTGTAGGGCGCGTGCGCTCGCCAGACAGACAAGAGAGAGACATAGAGACAGAAAGCGAGAAATCACCCCCCAGGGGGGATGGTCACGCCGCAATCCCTTCTCCTCCATTCTCCTCTCGGGATCTTGGGCACGCACGCACATGCGCCTGGCGTGAGTTTTTTAAGCCACCGGGTCCGGGACACGAACCGCGGTCGACTATGTGGGAATCCAGCGACATAGCCATTACGCTAACTGCTGGTTCCCAAGAACAGTTTATTCAAACAGTTCAAACAGCTATGGAGAGGGGCTGGCAGGTGGCGTGGTGGTTAAAGGTGCTAGATTCCCACATGGCCCACTATTGTGGTTCAAGTCCTGGAACTGGCGACTCGCTTTCTGTCTCTGGTCATCTTTTCTTTTAAAGGTAATAACAAAATGGAATTTAATTAATTAATTAAAAAAAAAAAACAACAGCTATGGAGGAAGATGCCCATACCAGCAAGTCAGCTCATTCCTTCAACAAACATTTTCTGGGCACTTTGTGGTGACAGGCCCAAGCTGAGGCTTAGATCCCAGAGTCAGGGTCACTGACCTTTAGTAGATTCACAGATTCCTTGTAATGGGATCATCGCTAAGTGATGAACATGGAAACCCTTGCCGTGTTTGAGTGCAGGAAAAGGACGCTGCGGTTGGCCCAGACCCGCTTCTGGGAAGTGCCAGGTGGTTCTGCTCGTGGGCCGGGCATGGGCAGCGGCAGTTCCTGGCTCCCATCATGGGCCGTGCACTGCACAGAGTACCCTGCCCATGAGGTCTCAGATCCTCTCGGCAACACCGGGAGCCGTGCTCACGTTGCAGATGAAGAGACTGGGGCTCAGGGGGACAGTGCTGGCACTCCAGGTCAGGGACTCCAAGTCCTCGGGCTGCCAGCGCTCTGAGGGAGAAGAGGGTTTTAGTCGTGCTCTGAGGATCGGCACAGGGGGAATGTGACTGATGGGTTCGCTTTGGAGGGGTGGGCGTGACAGCAGACAGCACCTTGGTTTTAGGCACCCACTTAGGTGGGCGCAGACCTCGGGGCAGGAGAGACACGCAGCAGCACGGTGGTTGGAGCTGGAGAGCTAGGAGCTCTGCCTGGGCCACAGGCCCACAGTTCCCAGGAACCGGGGTGACGAGGGCCCTCTCCTTCAGTTCTCCCCCTGAGGCTTTTGTCCCCACTGCAGGTGTTTCGGTGAGGCAGCAGCAGCCCCAAATGCAGCTCTTGGGCTGTGGTGACAGGAGGGCCTCCATCTCGCCCAGCCTTAATTTCCTGCTGTCTGAAGTAGGCGTGGTCACATCTTGGTCAGAGGAGTGTTCTGAGACCACAGGGAGATACGCCTCACGTAGCAACAAGGACAGAACACAGGCTTAATAAATGCAGTTAAGATTTAGGGCAGGTTCCAGCTTCCAGCTGCCTAGGTTCAGTTCCTGGCCTTTCTATTTACAGGCTGTGGGTCTTTGTGCAAGTGTCTTACCTTCTCTGTGTTTCAGCTTCCTCCTCCTTATACTGAGGTCAATAAAATAATCCCTACTCCATGGGGTTGTTGACATAGGCATTTGCTACGTACATTCGTGAGCGTGATACCAATAAGGCACTTCATAAGGTGCCTGGTGACACAGTCAGCCTTCGATAAAGAGTAGCTACACTATTGGGGACCAGCAGTTAGCATAATGGCTATGTCGCTGGACTCCCACGTAGTTGACCGCAGTTCGTGTCCCAGACCCGGTGGCTTAAAACTCACGCCGGGCGTGTGTGCGTGCGTGCCTAAGATCCCGAGAGGAGAATGGAGGAGAAGGGATTGTGGCGTGGCCATCCCCTCTGCAGGGTGATTACTCGCTTTCTATCTCTCTGTCTTTCTCTGTCTGGCGAGAGTACACGCCCTATAGCAAAACCTCTTAAAAATAAATAAAAAGAGTAGCTACACTACTGTGTTGTCCCTTAACATCGCCTGGTGAGCAGTACTTTCTCATGATGTAATAAGTACTACTTCGTTTTGGGTTTTTTTTTTTTAATTTATTTTATACATTCAACCAGTGTCCAGCACCGCGATTTGCAAAACAAAAGTTCCCAACATGAATACACTGCGTAGCAGCACAGTTAAAAACATCATACGTGTTACCATCCACAGACAACCCTTCACTCTGTGTCCCTTAAATGTCTTGCCTCTCTATTTTTCTTCTTGATTTTTTTTCCCTCCCAGTGCCCAGCGACACTGACAGCACATGTTGGTGTTTAGGGACTAAAAGGTCAGAGAAGCTTGTCATGCTTCCAGCAAGAGGTTGAAGTCAGGATTCAGGTCACCGGAGGACAGGGGTTGACTTGCAGGGGAGACAGTAGCCTGGTGCAGTGACACTATGGCTGAGGATGAGCGTTCAGCCTTCCGGGTCTGGAAAGGAGGGGATGCCGGGCCTCCCCGGCCAGCCTGTTTTGTCTGAGGATCAGATGAGGACAGAGGTGAGCGGACAGAGGTGAGCGCGTGTGCCCCTAAGGCCCCAGGAGATAGCCTCCAGGTCTTGCCTCAGGAAGAAGAGCTGGATCTACTCTGATGCTGCTCCGGCCAAGGCCCACCTTCACTTTGACGACTCTCCTTATTAACTCAGCTCTAGCGGAAGGAAATTCCTATAAAACACTCTCAGCCGTATTTCCATCCCTCGCGATACTATTTCTGTACAATCCTCGCGTTAATACACCCCTGGGGGCTGGCAGGTGGCATGGTAGTTTAGAGCACTGGGCTCCTACATAGCTGAGCACAATTTGAGTCTCAGACCTGGTAGCGCTCTCTCTCTCTCTCTCTGTCTCTGTCTCTTTCTGGTCAATTTTTTAAAAAGAATTATTTTATTAATTTTATTTATTTTAATTTGACGAGAGGGACAGAGAGAGAGAGAGGGAAAGTGAGAAAGCAAGCTACTAGATCTGGAACTCAAACCACAGTTGGCCACGTGGGAGTCCAGCGCCCTTAACCACCATGCCACCTGCCGGCCTCTCTGGTCAAATTTTTAAAATAATAATGATGATGAATAAAATTAAGTTAAATTAAATCATTCTTTAAAAAAAGTACTCACCACCGACAATTTTATTGTGCCTTAGAGACCGCTCTTAAAATCCATTACTCTGGGGGGAAAAAAATCCATTTACTCTGTTACCAGACGGAATGAAGATGCAGATTCAAGCCTCCAGGTTGTCCCGGTAGAACTGGAGAAACTGGGCCTGTGACCACAGGAGACCACGTGTGAGCACCTCACCTCCATTCCCAGCTGAGCTGAGGCCGGCTGGCCAGCTCCATTCTCTCCCCACCTCTCAGCCTGGCCTTTTTGCGCCTCTGGACTAGTGCCCATTCATCTTGCCTAGAACACCCTCTCCACCTTCCTGTGCTTCTAATACTCCTATTTATCCTTCAAAACCCCACTCAAGTGTCCTCAGTCTGAAGCTCCCCCAAACAAGAACTCTTCATATAGGAATGGGACTGTGCACGTAAGAATTATTGCAGGTTACTATAAATACATTACATATTAAAATTATGTGTCTTTTCATTATCCCAGATCAGGAGCCCGCCCCACTTCCAGGACTGCTTCTGGCCCTGGCTTATTGTCTCTGTAGCCCCACAAACTATCAGAGAGCCTGGAAGAGAGTAAGCACTTAATAAAAGTGTCTTCAGTAAACCGAGTCAGACTCAGTTTAACGGGTCTTCTGCCCAGGAGTTCCCCTGTTTATGGAGTATAATTTATGAAGTTTTCCAGAACCAGGTACTGGAAGAAAATGCACCTCTCTGCTAACCATCAAAGGAAGCTGTAGAGGAAGTTCGAGGGCTCAAATGCATTTCAAACAGCCTCCCGGAACATACCCTGTTTTTTATTAGTAGAGAGTCCCCGTACAGATCCACCTGAGCCAGCGGCTTTCAAACACTTGGTCGCGACCCTTGGCGAGAAGTTCTTTTTGCATTGAGACATACTGAACACCTGCATCGAAGGAGAAGCTCACATGAAACGATATTTAGCCTCACTATGGGTATTGCCCCATTGTCTTTTTCTTTACTGGTTTTATTTTTATTTATTTACGTTTCTGATATCGCTAGTCACCGCCTGTTGAATGGATTTCACAGTTGTTTAGTTGTGGCAGGGAGTAACCTCATGGACCTAGGTCTTCCGTTCATGTAACCAGACCTGGGCCTGGCAGTCAGCAAGAAGAGTGGGTAGGAGGTGGCGTTCAGCATGGGTAGGGGTGAGAAGGTTCCAGAAGGGCATGGGGGACACTAACGCTTCCCTCTCTTTGCAGCCGAGCCCCTGCCGCTGATGGACCTGTGCCGGAGAGCCATCCGCTCAGCCCTGGGCCGCCAGCGCCTGCAGGACATCAGCTCCCTGCCCCTGCCTCAGTCTCTCAAAAACTACCTGCAGTACCAGTGAGCCCGGGAGCTGCGCCCACCGCCCCGCAGGGCCTGGCATGCCTGTCATTCACAGTCACATGGAATGCGCAGAGAGGGCCTTTGCTCCATCCTGGTTCACAAGGACCTCCAGTTCTCTGAAAGGCCAGGGCATGTTACCAGCTCGGGTTGTGGCTGTCTGACACCAGCTGTCATTGCTGCCAGGAAGCAGCCCTCCCGAGACAGACACCTCCTTGGGAGCCACGGAGCCTGGAGCCTGCACCTGGCGAGGTCCCGCCTGCCGACCAGGACTGGACAGCCACCAATACTGATCCCAGAGCCTGCTTCCTTACTCAAGAGAATGAATAAAACATTTGGGCAGATTTTCTATTGTGCGCCCTGTTGCCGATAGGGCCAGGGGAAAACCGGCCAGGCAGGGATAAGACTGCCTCTGAATAACGAAAGATGAAGGCCACCTGAGACCGGGACCCCACCCCTTGCCAGGGCAACAGGATGGCCATGACGTAGGACTTCATGCCACTTTGAGAGATTGTCCCCAGGGATGCCCATTGTGGACAAAGCAGCGTTCAGAGCCCCTCCAGCCCAGCTCTTGCAAGTTGCTTACTCACCCCTCCGGGGGCCTTCTCTCTGCTCAGGGAAGAGCCGCCCACTCAGCCCGGAACAGAGCAGGCCCTTGAGTAGCAGTTGCATTTTAAAGGAAGAGTGAGATGAGGGCAGTAGCCCACAGGTGCTCCTGGGGAGGGACGGGGCACTGGGACACCCACGTCTGCTGCCGTCCTCAGGCTGGAGACCCTTCCCTGAGTGCCCAGGGTCTCTGAGCACCCGTCTATTCAGGGCGCAGCCTGGCTGTCACAAAGCTTTATTGGAGCGAATTATTTTTTCACTTTAAGAGACTTCTGTGAGTTTGCTTTCTGTGTCCAATGTGTGTGTGTGATGTGCTGTTATTTATCAGCTTGGGGCCCATGGGGGCAGCCTTGTAACTGGAAGGGTGGGTACGGGAGACGCCCCCCACCCGCCTGAGCCTGGGCCTCTCATCAGAACACTGCTGCCACCACCACCACTTGGCATCCTCGTGTGTTTTAGGTACTGTCCGTATAGCTTGTTTTTACCTGCAAACTGTCACAGCAGTGAGACACCAGAGCCCCCGACGGCACCGCCTCCCCCCACATTAATGTGAACTTGACCGATGAATGCGGAGCGTTTTAATAAAGTTTGCCATTCAGTCCTTCCGCTGTTTATTAAATACTCCTTGGGAAGGGCCCCGGAGAGCTTGCATCAGGCTGGTCTGTCCTCGGACCCATAGTTCCAGGCACGTGAACCCCTTTCCAGGGACTTCTCACCTCCCTGCCTTAGGGTCCCTCCCTGAGGCCGAGCTCCAGCCAGTTTGCAAAGGCCTGCCCTGGAAGAGAACCGTCCTGGGTCCTGGGCCCACGCACAGCTGGACTCGGTGGTGGGGAACCAGCCAGACTCCTGGTGCGCTGGGCATGGCTCTGCAGAGGCTCAGGGTGGACACACCCACAACCACAGGGCACCAAGTTTCCAAGTGGGCCTGGAGATGGGGCTGACGTTTCTTTGTGCAGGAGAGTGTGAGCTGGCCAGGGCAGCTCCTGCCACCAGCACACACAGGCAGATATAGCCCGGCCCCAGGGGAGACATCCACAGTGCAGTATAAGGAAGGCAGAAGGAGCTTAGGAAGGGAGTGGAGAAGGGTGAGGTCAGAAAGGTAGACTTCCTGGAGGAAGAGGCACTCTCTAGACCCACTGTTTTAAGGGAAGACAGTCTTCTTTTTTGTTTTGAGATTTTTTGCTATAGAGCACGAGAGACAGAAAGCAGGAAATCACCACCCAGGGAAGATGGCCACGCCACAATCCCTTCTCCCCCTGTTCTCCTCTCAGGATTTTGGGCATGCACACACTCATACCCAGCATGAGGTTCAAGTCACCAGGTCCAGGACTCAAACCGCAGTCAACTGCATGGGAGTCCAGTGACTTAACCATTACGCCATCTGCTGCTCCCAGGAAGACAGTTATGTGAGGATGAACCAAAGAGCCAGAGTGAGTCCGTGTCCCGGGCAGCGTTCTCACCCACCCTGACCTCGGGGTGGGCTCAGCCTCCTCCCCGCCAGTCACTCAGGTGGCAGCTTCCTACAGAAGCAGGTCCCGGGCTTGGGGTCCGGAGGCCTGGGCGGGAGCCCCAGCTGCTTCTCCTGTGCTCTGTGACCTTGCACTTCCTCTTCCACACGCGTGGGGGATGGACCTGGTAGCCGGGACTGAGGACCCTCCTCTCCCAGCTCCAGGGGTCCCCATCTCAGCACCCGCTTTCCAGCGTGGATGCAGCCATTTTGTCTCAGCTCCAGGCCTCGCTGTGGGGTCCCCCTCAGACCGGCAGGTCTTTGCCATCCTCACGGTCCCTCGCCAGGACCCGGCTTCCATCAGTCCTGCTACAGGAAGCCCTCTAACCGCCCACCCGCCTCAGCCTGCTCTGAGCCCTCCGCGCCTCACCTTCCAGCCTGACCCCGCCTCTCGGGTCACCCAGGACCCCGCCTGAGCACTTGGACTGGAGTCCTTCTCTGCCCTGTGGCCTGGGCTGCCGAGCCAGCTGTGTGCTTCCTGGGACAGGGCCAGTGGGGACTCCTTCGCACAGCCCTGGGCCAGACACTGGGCTCAGTAATGGCCTCAAAGGAGCTGGTGGAAGGGGCCTTGTAGCTGGGGACCCCTTGTAGCTGGGGTGCCCATGGGGGAGGGCTCTCCTGCAGGCCAGAGGAGGGCTGTGGTGTGGGCAGGGGAGAGCTGGTTCAGGCCAGGGTGGAGGGAGGAAGGCTGTGGTGTAGGCCGGGGGAGGGCTCTCTCCTGCAGGCCTGGGAAGGGCTCTGGTGCAGGCTGGGGAGGGCTCTCCATGGCGGCTGTCCCAACTTCCTGTGTGGCAGGAGCCCCAGAGCCCCGAGCTGCGCCGAGGGGGCAGCCACTGTGCTGTGCTCCGGCAACGCCCCAGCGTGGTGTGCCTGAGTGACAAGCCGTGCATAGCCCCAGGTTCCATGGGTACTAGTGCTCCTTGTACACACGTGAATGCACGCACATGCGATGGAGGGCCTTCTGTGCAGACATCTGGGGGCTCACAGTCATCCCCCAGAGCCGTGGTGACCCAGCCCACCCTTGGACACTCTCAGGTTCGCTCCCTCTCCAGCCCACTTCTGAGAGCGCCTGGCAGAACAGCCCCACTGATCGGCTCTAACGTCTATGAACGGGTCTCCCGCAGACCTAACCCCTGCCGGGCACCCGAGTCACCTGCCCATCCGACATTCCCTCTCTGGA